AAGAGTTTTTAAAAATATTTATTTTGAAAATTGCTCTATTTCCTGCTCTCAATCTTTCATTTCATTGTTTACACTAAGCATGTACTGTCTTTGGAGTTTGTTAGAAAACTAGAGTCCCAGTGTGTGAAATCACGCACAGTAGCCCGCCACTACTTGCCTCATTTGCTGCCCTGCCCTCCCATCCACCACTGTTAGCCATGCTCACTACCCCACCCGCCCACTGCCCGCCTTGTTGCTATCAGAGCCTGTGGGTTTCAGGGGAGGGACCGAGAGGTGCTCAATGCACCTCATTGGTGACCGGTCATCCTGGTCATCACGGACACTGGTTTTATATATATATATAGACATGCCAGTTATGTTTATGTATGTATGGGTATCATTTGGAGTCATCCGTTACTTGGCAAATAAAAAATATGGAGAGCCCTAGCTGGTTTGGCTCAGTGGATAGAGCGTTGGCCTGGGGACTGAAGGGTCCCGGGTTCGATACTGGGTAAGGGCACATGCCCAGGTTGTGGGCTCAATCCCCAGAAGGGGGCATGCGTGAAGCAGCCAATCCATGATTCTCTCTCTTCATTGATGTTTCCAGCTCTCTCTCTCCCTCTCCCTTCCTCTCTGATCCATAAAAATACATAAAAAAAGGACGAACTCCATGTTGCGTCCTCACTACTGTAAACCTACTTTGCCCCGCCCCGTGTGTAGCTTGCACAAAACTCGTGGAGCCTCTTCTTTCTCTCATGTGAGTGTTGAAGCATTAGTGTCTTTCTAGGATGAAGTTGCAAGTGTCAGGGGGCGCCCCCAGGCTGGTGTGCAGGTAGGATGCTCGCAGGGGCCGGCGGGACGGGTACCTCTGTGTTTCCACGGGGTGGGGGAGGTCTCAGAAAGACAAGTCCAGCAGACGTAGGGGTCTTTGACCGAGCACAAATCTGGAGAAGCTGCCAGATGAAGGTAAGGACACGGGTTCTTCACTTCAGCCTCCACCCCGGCGTCCGCACTTCCTGCCGAAAACACGGGGAGAATGCCGCGTGTGCGCACACATCCGATGCGGATGCATCTGTATTTTATTGGCCATTTGTGTCTGTAAATGTGCATTGTGAACACATTGTGCTGACGGTGAGAAGATGCGGCTTATGTCTATACTAGAGGCGCAGTGTGTGAAATCGCTGGCCTGGGGACTGAAGGGTCCCGGGTTCGATACTGGGTAAGGGCACATGCCCAGGTTGTGGGCTCAATCCCCAGAAGGGGGCATGCGTGAAGCAGCCAATCCATGATTCTCTCTCTTCATTGATGTTTCCAGCTCTCTCTCTCCCTCTCCCTTCCTCTCTGAAATTAAAAAAAAAATGGTAAGGGGACAATATGATTGCCAATATCTAGGCACTTGGGGTCAAGAAATGTTTTCATCTTAAATAGCAACATCGCTTCTCAGACCCTGTAAAGGTGACTGACACATTGGTCCGGGGAGCCCGGCTGAGCCGTGGCTGGGAGAGGCGGGTCTCTGAGGGCTGTGGTGATCATGAGCCGGTCAAGACGGGGAGAGCCATTATCCAAATAAGCCCTTCTGATGGTCTTCAGGGTGGACACATATTTCAGACTTGACCGAAGCAGACCCAGGGGACAGCGGGGATGCTAAAGGCCCACGCGTGGAAAGAAAGGACCAGGAGATGCCAGGGAACTCCAGGCTCAGACCTTGGCCACCTTTGGAGCGAGGGAATGATGGATGGAGCCGTGGAGTTGCTGGGGGAGGAAGTGCCTCCTGATGAATGATGGGAAAATCTCGCCGCGTCCTTCGTCTGTCTGATTCCCAGCTCATTTTCACTCCTTTTGCTCCTGTCGCTGTTCGGATGCTATTCCCGCTGCTTCTCACCCCATTGCCGGTCGGTTAAGCCTGGCAGGGTCTGGCGGCATCAATTTGTACTGCTTTGGGGGCGCTGGCTTCCCTGGCACTTAATTACCCACGTGCACTCGTGAACGCGCCCGCCACGTTGTGCTGTAGATCATAGACCACGGCAACTTAAGTAAACGCAGACCTCGCTCCCTGGCTGCGGCCGGTTTCTTTGGTTTTGACACCCCAACCACTTCCTCCCACACCCCCAGCGCCCGGAGTCTTGGGCCTGATTGGCATCTCATGGTGGTGGTTGTTTTTAAATATATTTGTATTGATTTTTTAGAGAGTGAGGAAGGGAGAGGGATAGAGAAATAGAAACATCAATGAGAGAGATCAATGGGAGGGAATCATTGATCTGCTGCCTCCTGCACGCCCCCTACTGGCGATCGACCTGGGCATGTGCCATGACCGGGCATTGAGCAGGTGAGGCCTCTTGGCTCACAGGTCGATGCTCAACCACTGAGCTACACCAGCCTGGCAGCATCTCCTGGTGTGTCGGTCTCTCCCTCTGACAGCGAGATCCTCCGCCTGCCAGGATGTGTCTTTTGACTTGTCTGTCTATCTCGACTTTGCTTTGCTGAGCTCTGGTGGGTGCAGGCGTGCCCGCATTTTTTCTCTCTCTCTCTCTCTTCCCTTTCCCTCCCCTCCCCTCTCCACGGTGGCTCTCAGAGAGGGAAGATTGAGCAGCCCCAGCGTTGCTCACTTTTTCTGAATTGATCGTGCCCGCCCATTGGATCCGATGCGGCGGGAATTAGTTGCCTGTAAACTGGAACAAGAAGACATCCATCAAAGAGGCGCCTTTTCTAGTTCGTGTCGAGCGGATTCGGTGTCAGGCGCCCGACCCCGTGGCTGCGGCGGGGGTCATCCTGAGAACATGTGCTCCCTGTCTCCCCCACAACCAGCGATTGAGTGTCAGCTGGAGCTGAAACAGGGCACACGCGTCCGAGGCCGCCTGTCACTACTTTCCGTCCCTCTTTTGCCTCCTCCTCCCTCTGTCTTACCGTACCCTGACAGCACCGCGAAGGGTCTGCCGGGATTCTGCGCTGTTTCTTCGGGAGGTGGGCGCCTGGTGTCCAGGGAGACAGGCCTTCTGCAAAGTCACTGAAGGGTTTCGCCGAGTCAGCCTCGTCCATCTGGGTTTGTGTCCCTTCGATGCCTCTTGGTCTTCTCGGCTGAGCTTCCCAATCTCCGTGTTTCCCTCCGTGCAGAGCAAGAGAAACCTTGGCGATAGCTCCGTCTCTTGCTTTTTCTCCCACATTGGCATCCCCGAGGGACCAGGGCTTTCCTTAGCATCCGGATAAGTGAATTCAGTCCTCTAAAGGCAACACCAGACAATGGACATCTTTCATAGACGTCAGAAAACACAATTATAATTTCAACAAGCGAAAAGACACATGAGCCCGGCTAGTGTGGCTCAGTGGTTGAGCGTCGACCTATGAACCAGGAGGTCACAGTTCAATTCCCTACCAGGGCACATGCCCAGGTTGCTGCTCCATCCTCAATAGTGTGTGTGCAGGAGGCAGCCGATCAGTAATTCTCTCTCGTCATTGATGTTTCTATCTCTCCCTCTCCCTTCCTCTCTGAAATCAATAACATATTTTTTTAAAATAAAGTGGATGAGAGTAAGGAGAGAATCAGTATTT